TGATGATAGGCAATTTCGATTAAGTGAGGGTATTCGGAAGCAATATTCCTCTGTCGAAGATCGGCTGGTCAATGTAAGCTGCGAAATAAAGAAATTCTAGTTCAAAATCAAATCGTTCGATTTTTGCAGCAGACGTTCGACGCGCGTCTTTCATGCATCTCGCGAGATCTCGCAATTGTTCGGAAAATCACCAATTAATAACATTGACGCAGCACAGCGCAGAGGTGAATATTTCCAAAAATGGTTTTATTTCCTTACATTACCACATATGGTGCATGGCTAAGGCAACATGGATAGAATCTGTGTTCGATCTACTTCATATTATACACTGTATCATTATTTCTATAGCCAACACACAATATTATTCGTTTCCGTAAAATACTGGCATGGATATATGAGGTGATTTTCCGTTCAACTTCGCGTTCTCGCGAGTTGCGTGAAAAACACGCACCGAACGTCTGCCGCAATATCGAACGATTTGATTTTGAACTCGAATTTCGTAGCTCACATCGAAAGGCCGATCTTTGACAAGGGAATATTGGATACCCTTACTTCATCGAAATTGACCATCATCAAATATGTACAGCACATTATTACATGGAAATATCCCGCAAAATACTTTCGCGTTTGTGGGATCCCACGCGATGTTTGTGCCGCTACGACACTGTGACATTCGTCAACACTGAGTGCATTGCGTCAACATTGAGTGCATTGCGTCAACATTGAATGCATTGCGTAAATATTGAGTGCATTGCGTAAATATTGAGTGCATTGCGTCAACATTAAGTGCATTGCGTAAATATTGAGTGCATTGCGTCAACATTGAGTGCATTGCGTAAACATTGAGTGCATTGCGTCAACATTGAGTGCATTGCGTAAACATTGAGTGCATTGCGTCAACATTGAATGCATTGCGTCAACATTGAGTGCATTGCGTAAACATTGAGTGCATTGCGTCAACATTAAGTACATTGCATAAACATTGAGTGCATTGCGTCAACATTGAGTGCATTGCGTCAACATTGAGTGCATTGCGTAAACATTGAGTGCATTGCGTCAACTTTGAGTGCATTTCGTCAACATTGAGTGCATTGCGTCAACATTGAGTGCATTGCGTCAACATTGAGTGCATTGCGTAAATATTGAGTGCATTGGGTCAACATTAAGTGCATTGCGTAAATATTGAGTGCATTGCGTCAACATTGAGTACATTGCGTCAACATTGAGTGCATTGCGTCAACATTGAGTGCATTGCGTAAATATTGAGTGCATTGCGTTAACATTAAGTGCATTGCGTAAATATTGAGTGCATTGCGCCAACTTTGAGTGCATTGCGTCAACATTAAGTGCATTGCGTAAATATTGAGTGCATTGCGTCAACTTTTAGTGCATTGCGTCAACATTGAGTACATTGCGTCAACATTGAGTACATTGCGTCAACATAGAGTGCATTGCGTCAACATTGAGTGCATTGCGTCAACGTAGAGTGCATTGCGTCAACACTGAGTGGATTGCGTCAACATTGAGTGCATTGCGTCAACATTGAGTGCACTGCGTTAACATTGAGTGCACTGCGTCAGCATTGAGTGCACTGCGTCAACATTGAATGCGTTGTGTCAACATTGGTAAAATTACATTTATCCATTCCAAATTGTGTTATATTGCCTTTTAAAACTATTCTGTTCACTACTTGCCTGACTGCTTCACCTAGAGAGCATATAATCTGTTTTCAGTATTATGGGTCGATATTTGAATTTCAATGGCACGCTGTTGCGTAATATGAATGAAAGTGTTAATTCCAAAGT